TGGTTGTTTGGGTTTCTGGATAGGGCACTCTGTGCCATCCACTACTACTCGTGTTGATGGGAAATGTGTCTTGAAACCCCGAGGAGAAAAGTAATGTACTAGGTCTCGTGATGGCCACCAGTTGACCTCACCCCACTCTACAGCCATAAAATTGATCCATGTAATAAATATATTGCCAACAGAATTTGGTGAAGTGTTAAACATACGGCTCAACTCAAAGTGTGTCTGATTTCTACGCAGTTTCATAAGTGTGAGAAGAAACTGGTCCTCTATTGAAAGTGAGTGAATGACGTCACCATAATAGCGAAGCTCATATGCAGCAGCTCCTAGCAGACTCAGAACAAACATGAATGTGTTGTAGTTTCCAAGACCGGTGTAGAAATGCAGGCCCTCTCGGTCATTCATGAACCATTTTGCAGTGAATCTTGAAGGTGGCTCACTTTGGGTGCCTGTTGTCTTGGTTTCAATGGCGTCTGTCTGTGTGCAATCCTCTCGGTATGGTACATCTGATCAAAAAAATGAATAAAATGTTGATAAAATATACTTATATCTTTGTGTTGATCAAACCACACCTTTCATACACACAACATTAAAAATACATGTATGCAGCTAGCCTGAAGTATGTATACTTATTATCTTATCATGACAATTGTTTGGTTGGAGGAGGGGGCATATATTAGTAATATATGTCCCCTCCTCCAACCACACAAATGACATGTCCAGGTTATATTACACCTTGTATATAGATATACATATATTATTTTTATGCATGCATATATATTGATCTTAATGTGCATTTCACATATATCTACTAGCAGAAACCATATCTTATGGGTTTCTGCTACTAGTAAATTGTTCTATATTCTGAAATATTAATACCTAATGTAGTAGGAAAAATGATGCAGGTTCTTATAAACGGGTTTTTACTGTATTCGTAATGGCAACACACCAGGAATGTTTCTCTCTGTAGATATTTCCATTTGTGCCCCAACGTCAGAAAAGGCCGCATCTCTTTGCTGGTTCTGCTTCTCTTCCATATCCAACTTCTTCTTAACTCTCTCACGCCGTGCAGATTGGGCAGGCGTTGTTTCCTTGCTCCACGCGAAGATATGCGGCACAGCCGTAGGTCTCAGCATTGTTATCAGGGGCTTCGTACCTAGTTAAAAACACTATTGCTATTAAGTACTATTAGTATTATTATTAGTATATTACTAAATTACTACTAGTACTAGTACTAGTATTACTATTAGTATTACTATTAGTATTAGGGCATTTGTCAAATTTAAAGTTTAGGTTCAGTTTGTTTATAATTATATACCCCTGAATATAATTACATCATATTTTATTGGAATGTATTATTTACACACGCAGAAAATATCTGTAATGTAACTAAACTCACCATAAGTTGTCTTTTTCTCGTAGTCATCTTCATCAAAGTGTCGCTTACAAACGACACTGTGCCTCGTAGGCCGCCACTTCTCATTTCGTCTCACAGCTGCCAACCACTGCTTGACCCGATTTGGGTTCGATAATGGCCAAACATGACCGCTTTTTCCATCACAATTTGGTACACAACACAACGGCATAATGGCATAACGAATTAAAACCGTGACTTTTGCTTTGCGTGCTTTTAATGGTGATAAATAAATCTTTTGAATCGAGAATCTTACGTATTGATTACCTTAGCAACACTGCGCCAGTGGCCGACTTGCCTCGCAGCGCCATCTATCAAGTCAAGTTTTTGATACAACCCCATTAGACTGGTACTCGCTCCCACCTCGATTACCAATCGAGTAACTAAGCCGAGAGGTGGGACCGGGTGCCCGTCTAGTTACAATGTGGCGCCCACTCTGTTGTTTCCGGTCCGTGTGCAAACCTATTCAGCAAACTTCGAATCAATTCATGCGACTTCCAATCTATTCACTGTTTTCCAAACCACTCAAGTTCAAATCAATTCATTCTAAAAGTGCCCGGATGCATCAGATCGGATAAGCACGCGCATGCGTGGACTTTATTCAGCCTTTGATTCGTATTACTATTATATCCCCACACGTTAACCCAACTTGGAGGATCCGATGACGAGAGTTGTTTACGGCTGTAGACGTTTTCACTGTTTGTAGTGTTGCCAATAACTTCATAGTAGAACAGTTCTATAAGTTCTACTCGCTAAATGGGTGTCTAGACTTTTCACAAGGTGAATAAAAACCCATAGCCGTCATACGTAGTGTACGTTGTGTTGTAAGTGTTGCGTGTGTGTGTGTGTGTGTGTGTGTGTGTGTGTTGTTGTGTGTGTTGTGGACACAGGCACAGGCACTTGAAGCGTTTCAATAAAAAAGCTGCCAGCGCCCGATACTATCGTAGCACGTTCCCGCGGTCGCGTGCGCCTTGCCGCGGAACTGCGCGCAACATCCGCGCTCGGCGGTCAGGATCAATGCTTCTTTTGCGCATCGCCTCTCTAGTATCCGGTCACTCCTCTGGATGTCACGAGTGAAACAAATTTGCTGCCCAAGAAGACGTTTGTGGGTAAAGCAGCAAAGGATATCATGACTGATGATTCAGTGACATCCAAGTTTTTGGACACTGTTCAACAAGCCTACATACAATGCACACAGCAACTTCAGAAGATGCCCCTGGAAAATCAATTTCTCAAATGTGTGTCAGCCATAGATCCCACAGAAAAGTTGAGAGGACATATTGAGACTCTTCAAAATCTCTTGAAGTTGCCTTTATTTGCCAAGCATGTTCTGTCTGTTGATCTGAACGATGAATATGAGCTCAATTGCAGACGGTATGTTTCAAAACCTGACCTACGATCATTCACAAATAGAGCAGACAAATGGTGGTCTGAAGTAGCAGGGGAATTCCCAGTTCTAGCTAAAATGCCCCTTTCATGGTTTCATTTATATTTTAAAAAGTTTCTTTCATGGGCCGCAAGTGGAGTCCGTTTTTAGTGCAATGAATCAAATTATTGACCCTCATTCTGCAGACCTATCCATCGGCTCATTTCAGGCAATTCAGACCGTGAGATCTAAAATCAGTGAAGAAGACATCTACAGAATATTTCCACAAAGAGTCCTACAAGCACGATCCTGTAGATCCTCGTCTTTGCAAAAACTTTACCCGTGCATGGCAAGTGCAGAAATAGGTACAGGATCAAATAAAAGCAAAACGTCAACAGAAGACAGCAGCGCTGAATCTAGAAACAAAGAAGCAAACGTCAAGAGGAAGTTCACACAAGAGTCAGAAGAGGCAGCAAAGCGGTCAAGACTAGCTTATATTAAAAAAATAACCAAACAAACCAAACAAAGGAATGTGTAAGGTCAGTTCTGGTTGGGGTTTTTGTTTGTTTGTTTTTTGTTAAGTGTACATGTACAGTTTTGTACACACACTAGTGTTGCTACACTATGTACTGTACAACCATATCAATATTTATTATTAGAAGATTTTGTTTCCAAAAGGAGTTAGATAAATTGGTGTACTTTTTTATGGTAACTCGTTAAGAGTTAATGTACATGTATGTAGATAAAAAATGAGGATGACTTATGGACCAAACCACTTATAGAAAGGAATTCTTCATTATGTATCGAGAAAAGTCAACTTATAGTCTAGAAAAGTAAATTGGGATTATGTGAAATTGACAATGTGTTGCTTATTCACCTCAGTTTTATTAATAAAAGTGTTCTGCACATTATATACATCTTTTATCACATTTGTTCCTTTTAAATGCCCCTTTCTGCTTGCTGTTATTGATAAAAATGTTTATTCAGATCTTGTTTCGGTATGTGTTCTGCTATATGGAATTATCTTAATCCAGATTCTCTTTAAATATAAGGTTAAAAATCTCATTACAGAATGCACCAGAATGCATGATTCTGATCCCCAAAATTAAAAAAATCTCCCACAACCTCCCCTGCCTCGGGGGTTTTTAGTGTTTTCTTTACTGGTCATTTTCATGCCTGTACTTTGTAATAGGATAAAGGTCATGTGTCAAGGACTAAGGTCAAATGTATGCTTAATAATTTCTCTCTATAAAAAAGCTGTATAATTAAATGCATTTTATAAGTACATTTCATATTATATCAGGTGTCATAAAATTAAATTAATTAAATTTGACAACCCATTTGATAGGATAATAGACAACAAATGTTTTGATATGTTTTTTTCCCTCTAGGACGATTCGCATGAGACTAAATATTGTGGAGGACATGATGAGTCAGTTCAGAGATTGCACATTGGTTGGTGAATCGTATAATTTCAAATTTGCTGGGGAAGGTGTAGATGAAAGTGGAATCATGCGTGATGCACTAACCTCCTTCTGGCAAGATGTTTTTAACAGATACTTTGAAGGGGAAAGAGAGGTCCATCCCTTAAACCACCCAGACCTGACAAGTGAAGATTATGCTACTATGGGAAACATTTTGTATGCGGGTTATTTGCACCAGCAGTATTTTCCCATTTCTATTTCGAAGCCCTGCATTTTGGCAGCACTGTTTGAGACCACCAGTGTTAATGACACACTACTGGTGGAAGGGTTTATAGGGTTCTTGGGCAAGGGAGAAGGAGATTTCGTAGCCAATGGACTAGAGGTCGACGCATTTGACGACGAGTGCGAAGACATTCCACTGGAAATCTTCTCTCGATACGGTGTCAAGCAACTTGTCACTCCAGCAAATGTCAGGAATCTGTGTGTTGGGTGTGCAAGAGTAGCACTGTTGCAAAGACCACAGTATGTTTTAAACTCAATGGATCTGGGGAGACTCAGAGTTTGAAGAGTTTCAGTCGCCAGCTGGCGTACTTGATGTGTACATTATTGATGTGTACATGATTGTAGGCCCAGAAACCAACCTGGCGAAAGGTAATTGCGCAACTTAATGCCCTTCCAAATACCGGTGCGGAGCGATCAGTCACGATTTTTTACGATTTTTTTAAAGCGCGCATTACGGTCAATGGATGATGAGACGTTGGCCAAATTTCTAAGGTTTATTACAGGCAGCGATACAATGCTAGTTCCTGCCATAGAAGTGCAGTATGTTGCACTTCATGAACTGGGGAGACGTATTGTTGCCCATACATGTAGTGGGACAATTGATTTGCCCACTAGCTATTCATCTTACAGAAAATGTCGATTGGAACTCTTGAATCAACTCAATTCAGGCTATTGGGATATGGATTTTGCCTGATAAAAATTTTTTTTGTTGAGCCCCAAAGACTTGAAGTGATACCAAGGGATCCACATATTTGCCTGCAAGTTTCTAGGGTTGAGAACTTATTTCAAACAAAATACATTGCATTCTTTATTAAACTGAAGCCTTATATACACACTGTAGTCTTAAATATGGATGCAATTACAAGCCACAATCATCCAGAAACGATTATACAGAGTGGCGCATGAAAAAAAAGGACTAACATACTTTCACTCATAAACGAATTATAATCTGTATGCCATTAGACATCGAATTTCTTCCTGAGAAAAATTGATCTTTTGCCACTAAACTTTTAGGAAAAGAAAAGATTTTAACCAACTTGACAGGCATCACCCTTAGGGGTAGGGGATGCCTAGTGGATGAAGTTATTTTCGTGGCCCCGATGGGGGCCTGGGGGAAGGCCCACAAGAGTGAAAATAATGTTAATTTCAAAAATCTTCTTCAGATTTAGAAATAGTACAGTCAAGTCATGTTGTGTGTGGATACCTTTAAAGGTGAAGAATAAAATTTATTCATGGTACTTCCTGGGATGACCTCATGTGGCCCGGGGGTGGGGAGTAAAAATTGGAGAGGGGGCACATCATGAAAACCAACATTTGCATCACAATTCTCCAGATAGCCTTGATTGGACCCCTGATGAGTGAGTAACAAATTAGGCAAGGGGCCAAAGTATACATTACATCTTCTTTAAATTGCACGGTCAGATTTTAACCTAACTTGTCAGCAATTGTCTTAAAGGCACAGGATACAATTACAAGTTCTTCAGACAATGCACATGGGTTCAATTGTCTATGTCTAGTGCAGTTTAGAATTTCACAGGTATTCCACTGCTGATGTACCCCCTAATGGCACTAGAGGGAGGTTGCGTTAAATGCTTATGCGCAATCTCAGGTGAGCGCGAGGACCCCTGGGGCTCTTGTTCTAAATACAAACTACATGTATATGTAGTGTATTTCTATACATCCTGTAAAAATGTAAACATATTTATACACGTATTGTTTCGGTATCGTTTATTCCCACGATTTATCATTTACCATGTTTGGTGAACATTTTGTTCAATGGGTTGTTCACATGTTAATGAAAGTTTGTTTATTATTCCTTTTATGTGTGTGACTAGTTTGATGTTTTTTGTCATTATCATGGTAACTGCTTCATTTTTTTCCCATAGAAATTCTTGCCATTTGCTCATAATGCAACATACCAAAAAAACATTGCCAAATCTGTCATGTTCTCTTCACATTATGAGGTCAATTTATTTCTGTATTTCGTTCTCCTTTAATGACAGAATCATTGTGTAGTTACTCTACTTGTGCATACAACAGTAGTAGAAAAGTAATTTTCTTTTATAAGCAATGTTTTCTTTGTTATATGAACTCATTTACCTCATGTTAATTCATAAGCCTTGTTTTTTTAAGAAATTTTGTTTTCCTAATGTAGATAACATTATAAATTTATATCCACACGTTGTTTTCTGAAGAAAAAAAATCCAGAAGCTTCTTGTGTTCTCTTTGTGGTGTTCAT